TACACACACACACACACACACACACACACACACACACACACACACACACACACACTTTTCCCTCAGGCTTTTGAGCAGAGGTGTCTCAGTTTTGAATTTCATTATTACTATTATTAGAGCCGGGCAAAAGATTTGCAGCAAAAGGTTTCTTCCCCACCTCCCTTCCCATCAAAACATGTCAATTTTGTGGCTGGTAAAACAATTTGGAAATTGCAGTAATTGTATGAAATGTCAACATTTCCTGACAAAATGTCACATGAACATTTTCGGGTTTTTTAATCACTTGTAGGATAAGGGTGAACTTTTTGCAGCAAATTTTCACATCTCTCTCTGGATTTTTTACTGCCATCCATCATCATAGTATCGGCGCAAAATTGATAGCAATAGCGAAGTCCCTAGGGATTTCATGGCTTCTCTGGCAGTTCTCTCTTTTTGGAGCAAAAACTCCGCTTGGAGGAGGGGTTTAATTTTCTAGGTTGACTTCTTTCAGGCTGGGTTGCATGGTTGTGATTGGTCGTGTAAATCATGTGACATTGGTTCTGGTTCTCTGACTGGTTGAACTCACTTGGGTGGTCAACAGAGTTAGCAGAAGCCATACTGGCTCATTGGCTCAGGGGCCCCTGGTTGAGCCACTCAGAACATCTCTGTTCCACTCTGTTGCCACGTAGGAGGGACTCTTAGTTCTCCCAAGCCCTGCAAAGACTGACCAGGATTTGAGCAACACTGAGGCCATGCCTGGTTTGCCCCTGAAGACACTGGAGAACAGTCCATCTACTCTACATAGACAAAGGACGGTAGGAAGCCACCAGCCTTTGCCCAGAGAGGCCCCACCTGGGAGGAACTGATTGGAGGTGCTGGGAGGAAAGTATTGGTGTGGGAAGGGAGCTATGGGGCATGGTGTGATCCATCAGAGGTGAGTACACTGTATGTTAGTTCAGATAACCATCTAAACCAGGACTCTAGTGAGGGAGATTTAGGTCAGATATTAGGAAAAACTTTCTAACTATGGAACGGGCTTCCAAGGGAGGTTTTGAAATCCCGCCTTTGGAAGTTTTAAAGAACAGCTTGGACAAACATCTGTCAAGGATGCTCTAGTTTGCAGTGTTGTTGTAGTCATGTTGGTCCCAGGATATGACAGAGACAAGGTAGGAGAGGTTGGACCAACTTCTGTTGGTGGAAGGGACTAGCTTCCAAGCTACGCAGAGCTCTTCCTCAGGTCTGGGGAAGGAAGCAAAGTGTATGATGGTCTAGGGATGGGCGAGGTTTACTTGGTCCTGCCTCAGTGCAGAGGCGGGGCTTGATGACTTCTCGAGGTCCCTTCCAGCCCTACAGTTCCATGACCCTATGTGGTGCGTTGACATGTAAATTTACTATGGTGAGTCTGGTGTATTACTGATTATTTTACACACACATTATATACTAGGAGATCTCGAACCCACAGGCTGCTCAATTACTTCCGTTCTCATCCCTCTACCCCACTTTGTGAACTGATCATAATTTCTCAAATCGTTCGGGATGGAATTCTCCAGAACTGGTCTCTGCCCAAGGGTGAGTTAAGCTTTGAAAGAATGATGGGGGAAAGGTTCAGCTATTTCTGCGATCAAAGACAGTGGAAATGTAGAGGACCATTTAAATTCTAACTCGAAACAGGCAATATTTCCCATTATTTTTGTTAAAAAAACCACCACGGAATTTAGCTACAAAACACTCTGTTAATGCAATAGAGTGGTTGCCCAATTAAAAATCAGAAACTCAGGTCATTCAAGACAGAAACTTCCAACAGCTTATTAACACTTACGAACAATTATTAGCAAATGTTGGCACTTTCGACTCCTAGTTTTGCTGCTTAAAATGAGCATCTAAATACTTCTTACTGTTCCTGTTGTACAACGTATAACCTAACATGCAGACACACAGCGTGCAAACTGCCACTGTGCTAAAAGGGATGATAGAACTTGAACCTCTGCATTTGCTGACTGTCATTTGAAGGATGCAGCCTTTACTGTGCCGTTAACGCAGCGTTTTGCATAGAGCTGGTCAAACACATTTCTGTCAATACATTTTTTGTCAAGAAAAAATCTGGCATTTTTCAACCCACATGTCCGGTTTTGTGAAAAACGTTCAGATGCTCATCGAAAAACAATCCTCCCCTCTCCCCATTAGGCAACGGAAGAACGTTCGGTTTGTAAGTGTTTGGTTTCTCAATGAAACCCTGAACATTTTCATGGGAGAAAAAGAAATGTCATTTCCTGAGCAGCTGGAATGTTGCATTTTCTGCACTTCCGAAAAATGAAAGGCGGCTACTGCTTTATTCAGAGCAATTGTTTTTAAAGTATATTCCTTTGAAAAGAATGTTTATTTCGAAATGCAGGTGGGGAGGGCATGACATGTATTTGCCATGCCTGCTTCATCCCAGCCAAGACAGAGGGGGACCTTCCTCTCCTGCAGTTTAAGGAAACCGGTGAGCAGATGGTTTTACTAGGAAATGAAGCAAGAGAGGTGCGGAGCATCATGCCAGAGGATTTGCTTGGAGGAAAGATAGGCTGACACTCTCTCACTGCTGGCTCACTCTCTACGACACCAGAGCATGTCCTTTAAGCCCATCTCCTTGTGGGTGCCCAGCTCGCAATACTGAGATTGGGTTTTCTAATCTGCGTAAAAGGAAAGCCATGCAGAAACTACCTCCATGTAGCTCCTCCACTTCTCTCTGCTTCCTGGCTGGAAGTTCATCTGGTATGTGCACCGATGTCTCTTTTCAGGGCACTTCTATTTATAAACAAAAATACAGCCACTCTCCCCAAACTACAGTGTCACCCAGCAAAATTCCCAGCACGGCTTTTCACTTTCCCCTTCACTCCACAATCCAGGGATAAGACATCCCAAGGGGGCCCTATCTCTGGGGCGGGGGACAGGGCTGACAAACCCAGCAGGAGAACTGGAGAGGCTCTTACCTGAAGGAAGATATGAGGACATGCCCACAGCACCATCCTGGGGCTTTTAATTCCTCCCTGGCCCAGCTGTCCCAGGCATGCTCCCTTCTGCGGGTTGGGAGCAAGGCGCTGGGCTGTTTTCAGATGCTCTTGTCAAGGAGAAGGAGTTGGGAGGAAGCCAAGGTCTCCCAGCCTGCGAAGCGAGGTCTCCGGGAGCAGGCGCTGTCCCTCTGCTCCAGCCCGTGTCCTCCTTTTATAATCTCGCTCCGCTCCGGCTCCTGGATCGCCACCTTCCAGCTCCCCTGTTCGGATGGGGCTGGGTTACATCTCTCCTCGCCATCCTCCCACCAGCTTCTCTCCTCCTCCTCCACAGCCCTCCCCCCTCGCCTTCCCACTCCCCCGCCCTTTGCAACAGTTACTTCCAACCTGCCCAGCCCAGGGGAGGACCCGATTCTCTGCAGCCGGCTGCCTGGGGAGCCCGCCCGGGCCAGCGGCTCCCTAAGCCCTCGCCAGTCCCTGCTCCTGCAGCAGCGGATCAGCCGGCGGATGCCAGCAGCGAGGCTGGTGATGCAGAGGCTGAGCCCGGCGCATCGGCTGCAGGGGGGAGACTGAGGCCGGGGGAGGAGGCAGGATCCTGGGTATTTTTAACTCACTCCTGCAGCGCTGCAGGCGCGGAGCCGGTGGGACGCCCGGCGCGGCCGGACATGGCAAGGCATGGACCGTGCGCCCCGGGGAGAGGAGCCCGGCTGGAGCGCACCAGGCGGGCTGGGGCGCAGGGCGCACGGCGGAGCAGGGGGGCAGCTGGCTGCAGGGAGCGGGACAAAGGCTGGGGGGTGGGGGTGGGTGGGAGCTGTCCCCGGGTGGGGGTGGCTCTCTGCCGCCTGCCACCAGCCAGCGGGGCTGGGAATGGGATCCACGCCTGTGCCAGCAGCCGCCTCTGGTGTTTCTGGGGCGGTACTGCGCCCTGGCGCCTTCCCCCGTCCTCCGGCTCTGCTGGGGGAGATGCAGGGGATTTTAGGAAAGTCCCAGCGGCCCTGGGCCTTGTCGGACTCTGCCCCCCCCCCACTCCTAGGACGATTATCCCCCTCCACAGCCCAGTGCAGGTTCCCCCCCCACTTCTGTCTCCTTCTGTGACAGCCCTGAGCTAACCTGGCATCCCCAGATTGAATTCACTTGTGTTTTTACAGGCACATGGCCCATCTCCTACCCACCCCCCCCAGTCCCTGGCTGACCCCGGAAACGTGAGAGCTCCAGAGCAAGTCCTGCGAACTCGGACTCCAGTGAACTTTGAACCGGAATTGAAATCAGTGTAATTTATCCCCATTTTACAGCAGGGGAAACTGAGGCACGGACCGGGGCAGTGACTTTGCCCAAGGGGACACAGCGAGTCGGTGGCAGAGCCAGGAGTAGAATCCAGGAGTCCTGGCTCTTAACCTCCCCTGCTCTAACTGCCACTCCAGGGGGACCTGGGAAGTGCTGTCCAACCGTGGCACCAAGAGAGAGCCCCCGGGGATGACAGCCCCCACGGTCACTTTTCCCGGGATCGCTAGGGGATAGAGTCAGGACAAAATAGCCACCGCTTTTTTTGTTTCTTGGCGTTCCTGGACCCACAGTACAGTTTTCAATTTGTTTCCAGGATAGGAGGGATAGATCGGGTAGAGGATTTTATTCCTGGCTGCCTAGCGTGCCTGGACGGAGTCATTTCCAGGGGAAGCTGGCAGAGGAAGGGGTTGCCTTTATAAAGAAGGTAAAGCAGTGGTTCAAAGCATTGCAATGCAATAACATTGCTGCATTTCTGGGGGTCATAATACTCGGGCTACCTGGACGGATGCAATATTCCCTAATGGTCCTAGACCCTGTCGCTTACAGAGGCGTTACTGAAGTGTTCAGGGCTGTTATATTGTAGCATTTTTCCTATGGGTCACTCTCCGTTAATGGGACCCGGGGTTATCCTGCCTTGTGTAAAGTGACCCTCCACACCGCTGCTTCCAGAACTGCTTCTGCAGGCTTGGACGGGGCAATGGCGATAGAGTATGTTGCAGGTTTGTAGAAGGATTGCTGTCTTGTAGAAGGGTGATTGGGGTTAGCCAGCCCCAGGAAAATGAATTGGGAGTATACCTGCCTGGAATGACTCAGCAGGAAAAAACCAGCTAGTCAGCAAGGTCCTTTTCTGTAAGCAATCACAAGACGTCAAGGTGCATGCACGTGGCATGAGCAAAAAGGAGTTAATGGCAAACTCCCTGCCTGCAGGTTCACCCCAATCCTATCACCCTGCACATGGGGACCAGCTTCCCCTTATTCTCTGGACCGGCCGACTACTATCCCTCTCCCTGAACTGGGACAAAGGGAGCAGTACCTGCGCTGACATTCAGCCTTTATTCACTAGGAACGGTGTAATAATACCAATGCCTGCTTTTTAATGTACTGCTTTTCATCAGTGGATCACTAAGTGCAGCAGTATTATCCCCATTTTACAGGCGCGTAAACTGAGGTACAGAGAAGTGAAGCGACTTGCCCAGCATCACCCAGGAGGCCAGAGCAAGGAACAGAATCCAGTGCTTCTGAGTCCCAATTGAGTGCACTGTCCACTAGGCCACACTGCCCCCCTGCTCCCTCTCCTACTCCACTTGGTTCTCTGGGTATATTCCAAAGACAAGGCATTTGCTTCTTATTGAAGCCATGGTGGCACGAGTCAGCCTCCAGCAGAAGCAAGAGAACATAAGAATGGCCATACTCGTTCAGACCAATGGTCCATATAGCCCAGTATCCTGTCTTCTGACAGTGGCCAGTGCCCCAGAGGGAGTGAACAGAACAGCCAATCGTCGAGTTAGCCATCCCCTGCCATCAGCTCAAATGGCAGGTCCCCGTCAGTTCAAACGTCAGATCCCCGTCAGTTCAAACACTGCTTCTGCCAGTTATTATGACCAAGAGCAACCCTGGGGTTCAAAATATCCTGGACAGATAAAGAGGAGGTCAGTATTGTAAGAAAGCTAGGGTATAAAACAAACCTTAGTTAAGCAACTGCTTATCTGATTCCTCATACCACCATTCTCAGGGGTCTTTGAATTTCAATTACTTAACTAAAGAAAAGACCCAAGAGTTGAATTTAGTTTTACAGAGTTTTGTAAAATATCCCTAACAACAGTAACTCATAGTATAGGATATAAGAAGGCAAAAATGGATCACTCGATGATTAACTGTGAAGCACCTGGCATTGGCCACTGTTGGAAGACAGGACATTGGGCTAGATGGAGCTTTGGTCTGACCCAGTCTGGCCGTTCTTATGTATTGGACTATGACTTGGCTAACATCAACTAGAAAACTGGTCAAGATAACCATTTAGGTTTTCAGAATCAAATTACACAACCACAGTAGAACATATGCCAGATACTCAGTCACTTTGGAGGGAGGGTGACTTTGTTTACATTTTTGACTGAGTCCCTTAGAATGACCTCACTTGTGCCAGTTGGTTATCAGCTTTGGGGTTGCTAACAGACTATATGAAAAAGAGTCCAATGCTAGGTCACTGACAGCTTGGTCAGTTCCTGCCAGTTTACCAAGGTCTCCTTCCCAGTGGATCCATAGTATTCAACCCTTCTTACCTGTTTCCCCATGAATTATATTAGCCTCAGCATCTAACACTCCTAACTATCTAAACTAAACTCTTACATTTATTACAGACTTAGTGCAGTTCAAAAAGCATGCACAGCTGGTCTCATTTTATGTCTCTACACCCCTAGAACGTGAACGGCAAGGTGAGACCATGAACCACGTGTACAGAATACTACATTCTTAGTTAACAACAACAACTGGTTCCGTTTTACAACAATCTTGATTGGAACCTGTTATAAAACAAAGACACAGTAATTCTCTGACAACCTTTAAAATGCATAAACAAGCATATATGCGTCCTTATTAATAAGGTACTCAATTTCAGAAAACAGTCAATTGACTGATTTGGGTCATCACCCAAGAGAAAGTGTCTGTGCTGCTTATCACCAGATCTTTGCTCAGCCATCAATTTTAGCTCTGTTATTGTTCACAGCAGGAGTTGACGCTGCAAACAAGGGTGGAGCGAAGGACAGACAGGACTATAATCTTTTCCCAGTGCGTTAGTGGGCAACCTGAATTGCTGGAAAATAGAACGAGACAGTTAAAGGTGCCTATCCAAGTACTTGATGTCACCAGGATGCCCAGGTGGCTAGCCCAGGACCTCAGTCGTCTCTCTTCCAGGTGTCTTTGGCTTTCAGGAAGTGATGTGCTGAAGGAGATAGGCCGTTTTATCCTGTTTCTGCTGGGTGGTCCAACTTGGTTCTTCTTCTTGGAGGTGCAGGCATGGACCAATCAGATGGTGACCCATACATCTTCTGAAGATTCAAAATGTCCAACCAAAATGAGAGCCGTCCTCTCTCACCAATCCAATCTGGGAAGGAGACATCAGCTTTTGAGATCTTGCAACTGGGATTGGAATTTTCCAGTCTGTTTGTGCAACATATTTTATGACACCACCTCGTGTAAGGCAAGGTAGTCCGGAACTGTTGATATAACCATCTTGGAACATACCTGGAACTCTGGCAGCTTTGCTCCGGTCAGCCACTTACCTCCACAAGTCACTTTTTGTGGGCCCCTTTGTGGTACATCCCTTGCCCAAGTTTGCAGTAATGTTTGCTCACGTTGCAGCGTTTCCATCAGTACCCTGCTAACTGCCGAAAGAGCCAGTTTAAAGTTCATATAATTTATACAAATTCTCTCCATATTCTTTGATGCTCTTTAAACATGTTTTAGCCATTCTGCAAAGTCACTTCAAGAACTGGCGTTCTCCTTCTGGCTGGAACAACTGTATAAATCTTCCATTTCTGTTCTCCTTGTTCTAACAACAATGGTGGGACCTTGGTATGCTTGGCTGAGCTGTGTCTGTGCATTATTAACCAAACATTATATTTCTGATTATTCCACTCTGTGGTCAAGTGTCCTTATAAACACACTATTTGGTTTCAATTCATTTTATTTATCACCTCTCTCAGCACAGGTGTATTTCACTAACTTGACAGCATACGCCTTCTTCACTTTATCATTTAAACTAAAAGTGACCCCTATGAATGCAGCCCCTTTCTTTCCTAACCGGATTGCCCCCGAGGTAAAACCGGTCATTAAAGTTTACAATATTTGGCCCAAAGCTGTATCACTTAGAGTTGACTTCCCTTTCCTGCACATTTTAATTATAATATTAGAGTCCATCAGCTTCCCCATTTTCCTACTGTATCTGGCATATCGGATGATATCAGTGTTTGCTATTAATTGAACAGGATTTAAAATTCTTTTACTTATTCACAGAAGGGGGGAAAAAGGGGGATGTCTCTTTAGCGGCACCGGAGGTACGTTCTTGCGAAAGGCTGCCGCAAGAGAGAGCTTTCTTAGACTAGTGAAGAGATCTAGCCTTTAGACCCTGGGTTTTTATTCGCTTAGCCCACGGTTCTAGCTGTCTAAAAGGCCTTGATGCCTGAGCAACTGTGAAATAGTAACAACTCATCTTTCCGGGGCCCTAGTTGCCCTTTGATTTGTTCACGTCTCTTGCCTTCATCTGGTGATCCTTTCCAAGTGTGGTGTGTGTGAGTGGGGGGAAGATGTCCCGCCAACACGTTTTCAAATCTGACCACCCCACCCACGGTCACATTTCCATGGCAACCGTCCCTCTCAGAAACCCCAGGGTTTCACATCATATCCCAAGCATGCCAGCGGGGGCTGATGCGTCAGCAGTTTGACACAGGACCCAAACAGCAACGCTTGGGCCTTGCCTGTTATCTGGCTCCCTAAGCCCTTTGCTGACTTCAGCCTGACAGCTCCTCTCCCCATGGGCTAAACCGGGATGATTAGCTCCATTTTGTGCATAGGGAAGTGTGACACAAAGCGCAAGTGGCAGAGTCAGGATTAGACCCTCAGAGCTGCCATGAGGAAACTAAGGCCCTTTTGGGGCCCCTGTCTCCATGATCCTGAGCACAGCACAATCTTTCACACATTGAGTCTCACACTCCCCTTGTGAGTCAGAGCAGTTCCATCAGCCCCATTGTACAGCTGGAGAATCGAGGCCCAGAGAGGCGAAGTGACTCGCCCAAGGTCACACAGGTTGTGGTAGAGGAAGGAACGGCCCCAGTTGGCCACCCTTCCTCTCGTCTCAGGCTACCTGCCAGACCGCAGTTCCTCCTGGACCCAGGAAGGGACGGTTCCTTTCTTCGGGGCTCATCCTTCTAGGGAAGCGATGGCTCTCCTTGCATCTCTGCTTTTGGGGGCAGAAGCTGGGGCTAGACCCCGTAGCCTCTTTCCCTGAGCTACGTGCTTTCTAAGGGTCAACTTCTTGCGTCCCAAGCCGAGGTGTTTGTAGCGGGAGAGAGGCTCTGGGAACCCTTCCCCCAACAGTGCTCCCGTGGGAGAAGTGATGCAAGGATCCGCCCCTGGGCAGAGCATGTCTGTGCCTATGGCTCTGCCAACCCCTCTAGCCCGGCCCAGCACCAGAAGGGAAGTACATCGTGTACATCCGGCAGGTGCCGTGGGGATGTGGCTGAACCCCCTGCCCATCAGTGCATCAGCGCTGACTTTTTTCCCCCCTCGTCCCACTCCACTCCACCCCTTCCCCCAAAGCCCCGCCCTCACCCCGCTGCTTCCAGCCCTCGCCCCGAGGCCCCCGCCCGCCTGCTGCTTGCTGCTCTCCCCCAAGCCCCTCCCCAAGCCCCCAAACAGCTGTGGCTGCTGGGTACGGGTGCTCCAGCCCCGGAGCACCCATGGAGTCGGCACCTATGCAGCCGTGTACCAGAGTCTGGGTGGGTCTTATGCTAGTCCAGACCTCCACACGTCCATCCCTCAGCCACCTTCCCCAGCGCCACTGGACTTAGTCTTCCCTAATTTTCCGAAGTGGGGTTCATAGACCAGCGACAGGTGATGGGGCAACAGAAGCAGAGGATCACAGATATACACAAAGCTTGATTCTCCTCTCACAGGACATGCATTGACTTCAGTGGATGACTCCCCCCGAGGTAGATGAGAATGAGGCCTAGCGTTGTTCTAATATAACAAGAAGGCACTTAGATGCTAGAAGGTTCAGTGATGGATGTGACATAAAACCAGCAAGGTACCAAACATGAGTGATCCCAAATCACCTTACTCAAAAAGAAGAAAAATTTAATATCTGATTTTCTGATCAAATTCCAGCCTGGGTAATTAAATTCCACCCACCTGAATTCTGCCTGCCTTTGCAGTTGGAGTCAGAATTCCTCTTCGCTTCCTGAACTAACTCTTGGCTAGTTTTGCTGTGCACTGATAAAACACCTGCTGCGTTCCACACCAGTGGTGGCTGCATTTCAGTGACAAGTGAAGTGATTACTGTTTATATTTGTAGGCTTGTAGGGAAGCGGTGTGGCTCCCCGCCGCCCCGGAGAGGGAAGAGCCCCTCCAGAGGCCGGAGTGGGCGGAGCTAGGGAGCTCTGAGCCCGCCCCTCAGCGGGTCAGGCGGTGACCCGGAAGTATAAAGGCTCGCCCGCACAGCTCAGTAAGGCCCCAGCTGCCAGAGAGGCCAGACGCCTCCAGCCTAGCCTGCGACTGGGAAAACCCCGCACCCCAAGGTGGCTGGGCCTGCCCTGCGGCCGCTACCCGGGAGAGTTGCCAGGCCTACCTGGCACCCACTACCCGGGGGAGTTGCCGGACCCGCCGCTCGCAGAGGAACCTATGGTGCTGGACCCCCCAGAGGAGAACACCTGCACCCAGGTACGACCCGAGGGGGAGTGTGGAAGTAGCCCGGGGGCAGCCGACCCCAGTCTGGCTGCAGCACTGCCGCTGCTAGGGCCCCGGGCTGGGATGCCGTGGAGTGGGGGGGCCTGCGTCCCCCTTGCCACCTAACCCGTGGGTGGCCGTCTCTCCCTACCCCCAGACCTGAGGAGGCTCGGGCCTATTGTTATTGCTCAGCCCTGCCTAAGGGCCTGAGCCCCTGACTCCATATTGCCCCGCCCTGCCCTAGGGCCTGGGCCTGCTACTAACTGTACTGCTACTGCTCAGCCCTGCCTGAGGGCCTGAGCCCTGACTCTGCACTGCCCTGACCCGGGGCTTGGGCTTACGCAGGGCCGGCGCAACCCATTAGGCGACCTAGGCGGTCGCCTAGGGCACTACAATTTTGGGGGTGGCGACTGTGGTGGTATTTCGGCGGCGGGACCTTCCGCTGCCTCTGTGGGGGGCGGCATTTCGGGGCGGGACCTTCTGCTGCCTAGGGTGGCAGAAAAGCTGGCGGCGCTCCTGGGCTTACGGTATTTGTTCCAGTACCACAAGGGCTGCCGAGGAAGACCCCACGGCCAGACTAATTCCCCGACCAGCAACTGTGTGTAGTGAGCCAGTGTGGCTCCCCACCGCCCCGAAGGGGGTCGAGCCCCGGCAAACCCTTGTATATGGCTGTTTTGGGATTGTTGGTATGGAAGGGACTGTAGGAATAGAACAGATTCTTTCAATTTCTGAAGGGCACATGCTCTAGGCACTTTCATTAAAACATATAATACAAACTAAATTCCTCAAATATTATGACGTGTATTTAGCCAAGAAAATAGTTGAAAATCATTAAAAGCCTTAAAAATTCAAGCCGTTTATTTTTTGTTTCTTATGTCTCATAACATCCCAGAGCACCAACAGGTAGTGAAACAAGATAGCAGTCTTTACAGTCCAATTCTGTTTTACTTCAACAGCTTCCATATCAACCCTATATAAACATATACATTAAGCCTCGGAACTCATTGTGGCAGGATTTTATTGGAACAAGCAGTTTGATATGAGTTTTTTAAAATGTTAGACTCATAGGAATAAGAAGAGCCTCCATACTGGAATTATACTAACTAGGATAAAAATTACATGGGGTAGCAATCCTCAAGCTTCATGGCCCGAGTAACTCCCAACTGAGGTCAGGAAGAAATGCCTCAGATAGTTATATACAATAAGGCCCATTATGTTTTGGTTTTGTCTTCTAAAGCATTTGGTATCGGCTACCTTGGGAGGCAGGAACTTGGGTTATCATGGGAGCAGAGCTGGTCAAAAAGTTTCAGAGAAAACCAATTTCTGCCAGAAAATGCTGATTTTTATTAAATTGAAACATTTCACAGGAATGGATCCATTTTTTGAGCATTTTTGCAGGAAATTATTGATACGTTTTGTTCTGACTTCATTGCTTTATAATATAATATAATATAATATAATATAATATATCATTCTGATAAAGTCAAAACAAAATATTCGCTGTATATTTCATTTTGCAACAAATTCTGAGATTTTCCCTTTTGGTCCTAATTTGGGATGAAAGCAAATATTGGAATTTCCTCCGGGATTGAAATTCAGGATTTCAACCATCTCTAAAGGGGAGTTGTACCTGAGTAAGGGCTGCAAGCCTGAGGGTATGTCTACACTACCCGCCGGATTGGCGGGCAGCGATCAATCCAGTGGGGATTGATTTATCGCGTCTAGTCTAGACGTGATAAATTGACCCCCGAGCGCTCTCCTGTCAACTCCTGTACTCCACCGCCGTGAGGGGCGCAAGCAGAGTCAACGGGGGAGCGGCAGCAGTCGACTCACCGCGGTGGAGACACCATGGTAAGTTGATCTAAGTACGTCAACTTCAGCTACGTTATCCAGTGTAGACCAGGCCTGAGCCATGTATTTGTCTCACTGCACCTCTTCTTACATGACCTACATTAATTCTCATTAATATAGTCTCAAGCAGGCTTAATTATGCACCCTGTTTTCATTTTGGTGTCATTCACGTGACTCACCCATAAGCTGGGAACAGGGACAACTCCCACCACTATCAGCCCCAAAGTACAAGGCTGCGAAACCAGCTGCTACTAGTGATAAGCTCTTATCCTTTATTTCAGAGTAGCAGCCGTGTTAGTCTGTATCCGCAAAAAGAAGAACAGGAGTACTTGTGGCACCTTAG